ACTGACACGATTGTTTCCTTTTGGTTCATTTGTCTAGTAGCTTAGGGAACCATTCGCTTTCTCTACAACATGTACTTTTCTGTGACCTTGCAGAGGAACAGCAGTTCCAGTTTGGGATTCCTCTTGCACCATCTGGTGGTAGCTATTGCAAAAGCATTGTTCAAATTGGCTTACGTAGACACCTCAGAAATGGATAACCATCAAGCTACAGTTAGATGTTCTTCAAAGATTGATGGGCTCACTATATAGCTTTGTCACAGTCCCATACACCATCTTTGTACAGAGTGAGCTCCTCTTCTTTGAAACTGTGAGCTGGAGTTTATGCAATGATAGAAAATAAACCAGCAATGCTTTTTTTCTGCTCCAATAACCATTCTTAGGGGTGCAGTCTGTCCTCTCAGCACAGCACATATGTGCATAATTTCCTATGCCTATAGGGACAACTAAACTGCTGAATGGACAAGGGAGAGTATGGCAACCTTGCTCTGAGAAGAATCACCTTGGTTTGGGATTACACTAACATGCCAGGGTAATACACTCACTAAAGTCATTTCCACTCTTGCCAGAATGTTGTTTAACCAGGTGCAGTCTGCACGTAGTCATGTAATCATAGATTTCATGGAGGACTCCGCAACAGTGCTATGCACAAGGCCAGGATGTGATCCCTAATCTTGATTTTTTTTCTCTCTCTCTCTTTTTTTCCCCCCTCTTCCTCCGTTCATCTATTATGATGAGATAGAAGTGCTGGAATCTATACCCTCCATTACCATGTGTGGAGAAAGGTGCTTTGAGGTAGTCAACAGTGACCCTATAAAGAGGGAACTGGATGGTTCAGAAGTTGGTAGGTGGATTATAGCACCATCCCCCTTGGAGTTTGCATTGTGACCAAACATTCATTCCGAACTGACGACTGTTCGGGGACCATGCATAGTGGTGAAATGCACTTTGTAGCCTCTGTCCATGTCACAGGAATCACCACTGTTGGTGGCAGTCTTAGCAAAGAGATTGAGGATTGAGAGGGCCATGGAGACTGAATGCTCTCTCGTCCCGCAAGGTGACCCCTCCAAGTCAGGGTTGAGGCACATTGGTGAGGCAGTGTTGGGAAGCTTGTATTACTTCTGCCTGTTCTGCTACTCTTCTGTGGATAAGGAGAGACCTGTCAGCCTGGCACCTCTGGAGAGTGCTAGATTCACACAAAATATACTCCTCTGCCAACTAAGGAACAATATTAACGGACAGAAGAGAAGCTCATCTGGTCCCCCTCAGTTAGGAAGATGGGACTGCAACAATTATAAAGACAGGCTGGCACAAGAGAACCTCAGACTCCCCTGAAAAGGGGGACACAAATCTGGAGAATATAAATGTTTTAAGGAGGGAAAGGAATATAATTCTTGAGTAGCTGGTCCCATACAATCCCAGTAACTGCCTGGGACGCCTCTATACTCCATGTGAATGCTTGAGTACCAGGGCCGGCTCTGCCATTTTTGCTGCCCCAAGCAAAAAAAAAAATGCCGCTCGGACTGTGCCTGGAGCCGGCCCTGTTGAGTACTACAATGGCCATGTCACCTGATGTTTCCCGTACCTCCTTGAAAAGCAAAAAGACCCCAGCCAGTTAACTGACTGCTGTACCTTGTTTTTGGCAATGAAAAGGGTATAGATAAATTTAACCCATGCTTTTCCAGGAAAAAAATGTTTAAGTTCTGATTCAACACAGTTCTTAAGCACATGCATAAGTTTGTTTACTTCAGTGGGATTTAAATATATGCTTCAGCGCTTGCTGAATTGGGGCCATAATTCAAATAACCTTTTAAAGAAGCAAAAGAAAAGCAATTGACTTTCTTTTTTCTTGTTGACTCATTACCTATCTTTAATGATCCTCTTCCTTTTTTTAATTCCATTTTAAAAATGGATATCGGCAATTATCCATATATTACACAAGTACCTGGAAAAATAATTAAGATGATCTTGAAATTCAGGAAATAGGTTTAGAAGAGAAGCAGGTGCTTAATGGAGGTGAGGCCAGCTGTGCTTCCCAGGACTGTGCAAAAGTACTTCAGGAAAAAAATGTGTGAGGCCTCCACACAGCACTGGAAGGAAATTACAATAATTCAGACAAAGTCTATCCTCTAATAGCAGAACTGGCTTCATTAGGACAGAAAGGCAGATGGAGAAAATACAAAAGGTTTTTTTAAGTGAATATAATGTTTAAGAAAAGTGTGAGGTTGAAACCAATGAGGAAAATCCCTCAGGCAGAGTGGTAGCATTATCAGTACAAGGTTCTCATCTTTGCTAATGTGCATCAACTCATGAGGGGCACTCATAGTAGTCCTGTTTCAGCAATCCCCCTCATCCTACAAGGCTAGCCAGGCTGGTATGGGAGGGCTTTAGAATAAGCAGTAATTGGCAGGAGGATGAAAACATGGGGGGGTTATTTTGGGAGCGGGGTCATTCACCAAATTGTCTGTTTAAGGGATTGCACCCCGAGCAGAAATGTACTGGTAATTAATAAAGGAAGTGCTGATAGTAAATTAGACAAGAAAAAAAAGGGATGCTCCTACACTCATGCTGGAAATACAGGGAAACAAGCAGGAAAAACAGGAGCCTGTCATGCATGAGGAAAAGTAACGACAGAGGCATGGTGGGAGACACGTGACTGGAATTCAAATATCTAAAGGCAGGTTCTGTCGGCAGTAGGTGGGATGTGGAGGGGGGAAATGGAGGTGATGTGGTTACTGTGTATCAATAATATAATAATAATCACTAATGTGAAGAGATGAGGAAGATGAAAGTGTCTGGGTTCAGATAAAGGATACAAAACCTGGCATTGATGATGAGGATAAATTATAAGCTATGTAACTAGGGAGCAGAGGAAGATGAACTTCTCCTGGAATTGTTTCCAAGAATGTCAAAGATATGACTGGACCATTTAAAGCAGTGCTTTTAAGTGGACACTGACTGAAGAATTGCCAACTACTTAACCACAGACAGCTATGAGCTCATATACAGACCTGATATCCCTCTTATGATAATGTTTTGTGTGTTGTAACGCTACCTTTATCCTTCTGGCTTGTCTGATGTATGTTTAAAGTTAAAATTTCAATATAAAGATTATACAAGGTGTCAAAATTCCAATAAATGATCAGTGAGAGAATTTAATTCCGGAGATTAGCTAATGGAAAAAAGGATACAATCCATATATTGTCAAAGAATATTTTTACTTGATGTCGGATAGTTCCCTATTTCAAATGTGGAAGCAGCAATACAAGGTCTGGCATGAGGGTAGAGGGGAACTGAGAGGGGGAGTGGTTACAAATTTAGCGAATTTGTGGTGCAAATGAATTCTAGAAAGTCACAATAGCAATGAAGTTCTTTTCCCTGCTAATAACACTCCCGTGAGCTGAGTGTTATCCTCTTTTACAATTGGGGAAACAAAGGCACCGAGTGGTTGAGTGACTTGCATAAGGTTAGTCTTTCAGTGTTAGTGGTTCTATTCTTGACAAATCCTGTCTTTCCCAGCCTCCTGCTCTAGCCATTCAGTGATACTGCATTCTATTAGGACAATTCCTCTTCGAAAGGATTGAAGTGACATTTAGTGAGCAGTGTAAAATCAGCTGTGGTACTAAGTATAACGTGTAGAGAAAAAAGAGGTAAGAATTTATGCAGTATAAGAGATGAAAGGCCAACAATACCAATAGAATTTAAAAATACAAGGAAGATTTAAAAAAAAAAAGTGGTTGAAAAGAAGGTAGTAAAAGACCTGAAATACAAAAAAGGATGATCGTCTGTGGGAAGTGGGTAATTGTAGTGATTGGAGGAAATAGATATAAGGCATGCAAGAATAAAATAAGGGAGGCTAAAGAGAAATATTCCTGTCTAGGGCAGTCAAAGGAGAGAAGAAAGAGTTCTATAAATACACTGAGAGAGATACTAGGGGAAAATACAAAAAGCTGTTGTGAAACATGCTCTTAACAATACTACCATAGACTAAAAGCACCTGCGATCCTCAGATTTCAATGGGTGCTTATACAAACGTCAGTTAATGTAATTAGTATGACAAAGCCTTTCCAAAGTAAATAAACACCTTCCACGTTGTACAGCACCTAGCACACTGTGGTGCTGGTCCATGCCTAGGGCTCCTAGGCGCTGCAGTAGTACACACAATGCATAATAATAACTATATAGATGAAGACACTGAGGTTACTGTCAATAACTTGCCCAAGATCACTTGGGAAGTCTGTGGCAGAACTGGAAATAGATTCAGAATCTTCTAACTCCAGTCCTGTGCCTTACCTGTAAAACTGATGTACTAACTCTGGGAATATTCTTTTAAAGTGTGTTCCATCTACATCAGCCTCTAGATTTAATACAATGCTTGTATAGCTCTTCGTGTAATAACGGAACCGAAATTATTCAGTTGTATTTCTCCCCCTCCCTCCAGGTGATGATTCTCATCAATCCAACTTTCCATGGCCACCTTTCAGCAGGCAGGCATGGGAGTGGGGCATATGGTATGACTATGCTGTAAGCTCCCAGTTTGGGCATTATTAATCATGCCTAGAAAGTGACTGAAATTGAGTGTACAAAGCAGTGCAAATTGAATTCACACCCAGCTTAGCAATGCAGCTATGAATTTGTGCAAACAGACCCAAGCTCGTGTCACCCGGCTGTGCATACACATGCTCAGTGTGATTAAATATATGGAATCAGAGTAACACAAAGGCTTCTAAACATTCAGCTGTGAGATGGGCTCTCCTTCCTGAAAATGAGCAGAGTGAATTTGTGTGCAGGGGCTCTCAAAATTGCAGCATTAATATGTCCTACTGTTGAGTTCCAGCAAGTGCCACTTTAAGCAGGTGGGAATAGAATAAACTGGATTTAACTGAAATCCTTATCCTTACTCTGGCAGTGTAGTGTGTTCTGACATGTTTCTCATACATGGTGAAATAAAGACATGTCAAATATTGATCCATATGTTGCCTCGCCTGTTTTTCCCCCTTCAGGCTTTGAATTGCTCTACCAGCCAGAGGTGGTCCGGCTCTACCTCTCAATCCTCACTGAAAGCCAGAACTTCAACACTTTGGAAGCTGCAGCAGGGGCTTTGCAGAATCTCAGTGCTGGAAACTGGACAGTGAGTCTAGCCTTTTCCTTTGCTTAATCCTAGTTAGAAATTGGTACAATGGAAATTCCCTTTAAGCCCTCTAGGACTGATGTCACTTGATAGCCTGGAAATTGCACTCTGTTACTTTTCTTTTGTGAATCTCTTTGGGAAGATTTTTAGCTTTTGGTTTGAACAAAGGGATTAGCTTTTAGAAAAGGTTTCAGTGTTACATAGGGAATGCAAATCTTAAAATGAGCAAATGTTACTTTTTAGACCACTTATCTGCTGCTGCTTTCATTTGTGGGTTTCTTCAGCAGTGCTTGTTTTTAGAGCTGGGTAACCGTACTTACCCCAGGGCTGGGTATTGTCCTGATTCATCAGATAACACTGGGAGTTGCATCTCAAAATTGCCACTAAAGCCTTCCCATAAACCCTCCTCCCCCTACAGTAATCAGTCCACTCTTAGCAAAGAATACTGGAATGTTTCTGGACGTGACAAAGTGAGGTCATCCACAGCAACCCCAGGTCTGTGAAGTAGTAGTTTGAATGGGGAGTCGCTTTTAAAAATATAATTATTTACAGACATTCATGATACAAAGAATAGGAACAAGTAATTTTTTAAAAGCTAACAGGAGCTGTCCATGTCTTGCTGTTCCCGCTAAGTGACCTTTTTTCTGATGGAGAGGAATACATTTTCCATTGAGGTCTATATAGTAGCCTATATTCTTCCTCTGCTGCTCTTAAATGTTTATAGAACAGATCATATTTCTTCCCCACTCTGTCTTCTCCTCTCCTCCCCCCCGCCCCACCTCCCCTGCCACCAGCTATAAGATGAAATACTATCTACCTCCTTTTCGCGCTTGGTGCACGATGGACTTGGATGGACGGTGGGATAAGTCTCACACATGTCGCCATGCAGAGAGTAAGGAAGAACTGTTTGCATAAGGGGAAATTCTTCAGTTTCATGCTGGAAAAAAATCAGACCCCATCACTGAAAGAAATGCAGGAAAACGGGTCTCTAAATTCACAATATTGTGTGTTGCTTTTCTTCCTGTGTGCGCACAGTGGTCCACGTACATCCGTGCAACAGTACGAAAGGAGAGAGGCTTACCAGTCCTCGTTGAGCTTCTTCAGTCTGACTCTGACAAGGTTGTGAGAGCTGTGTCAATTGCACTGAGGAATCTGTCTATGGATCGTCGCAATAAGGATCTCATAGGTACCTTCTGGGCTTCTCTTACAGGAGTGTGACCCCATAAACACATGGGCTCTGTAAAATTGTTTAGGCTTTTGTCAAGTATAGGAGCTGAGGTTTATTCTGCATACAAATCCATTAGCATTATCTAGGAGTCTTGCGCACATCCCAAGCGAAGAATTGCCATCTAAAAATTCAGTTTCAGCCCATCCAGTTTCTATACATTCACATGGTGTGATTGAATGGAAATGAACCTTTACTTTGCAGCAGATCTCAAAATAATTTGCAAAAGTATAATGGCTTTTGATTTGATATAATTCCCCTTTGGCCCCCTTTGCTCTGTCAATGAACCCTGCCTCGCCTCTCCCACTCTCAGCTGTTTGCCTTCTCCTGTGCTATCCCCTGTATCGAGAAGCCTGGTACCCAAGTCCCCCTTAAAACTCAGCTTCTCTGCAGTGCTCCCCAAAGCTAATCCACATTAGCAAAAATGCAGCCGCTACTCATTAAATGAAAGTGGCAGAGGCTGAGCTCCAAGTCAAAGCCTTTGTGTGGGTCTCCCAGTATATTTCCTGGGCGATTTGCCCGATCTGTTTAAACTGTAACCTCACCAAGCAAGGAAATGTGCCGCATACAGAGCACAGATGCTGATGCTTAATCAATACAAATCTCCAATTCTACTTTAATACGCCCACGTTTCATAAAAACCACATCCAGTGTAGAGCTGTAGCTACCAAATAACACACATCTGGGAGTAATGGGCCCAGGACTCCTAGGCTTTTCTTCAGTGCTACCTAGCGTGAAGGCCAAATGGACATTCTTACCTTCTAGGGGAAGTTTAATAGATGCATTGTTGCATACCTTGCCCCTGCAGACCTCTTACAAGGCTACATTGAGTAAGCGTTGTGTGCATGCATTAGCATTAATAGGTTAGCCTCAGTTTATGAATGCTTGTTTGCCTCAGGCACAGCAAAGTGTGATGTGTTGGCTGTGAAATTCTCAATAAATGTTTCAAACTTTTTTGCCTCTGATACCTGTAGTATTGATTATGCAGAATGAGTTTGCTTTAGATATCCATTCTCAAACATCTTGAGAAAGTTAATGATAAATGCAGTAAGAAATAGTCTTGAGATTCAAGGAAATTACATTAGAAAATCTTCAGACTTTGGGAACTTCCTTATATTTTAGCTTTCAGGACAGGAAGCTGTTTCTTGAAATGATTATCAGGTCTGACTAATGGTAGCTCTTCCCCTTATCTAGGTAGTTATGCCATGGGTGAACTGGTAAGAAATTTGCCTAGCAGGCAGCAGAGATCTGCTAAAAACCTGGAAGAGGATACAGTGGTTGCAGTCTTGAATACCATCCATGAAATCATTACTGACAGTTCAGAAAATGCAAGGTCCCTGATCCAGACACAGGGCATTCAGAAGCTGGTAGCTATCAGCAAGTCAAGGTAGGTTTCTTACTAGAATAGAAAACAAAGTAAAGAGGATACTGTCGTCCATGAACCCCACTGTGGTGCTTTGTGATGGTGCCCGGACATCTTGACCTTTCAGATGTGTAACTGAAGCACTTAAAACATGCAATAAAAACAAATCCTACATCAGTGCCTTTAATGGGTTTAGTTGACTTAAGAGATCAAATCAATAAGATATGTTCTGTCATCTCAGGATATAATCTCTTTGTTTGATATATGCCTTAGCATTATACATGCATTTATCAGACATCATTTGCAGTGAAGCTGAGACCTGTGTTTGCAAAGCAGGAGACCTTTATCCTATGACATTCCATTCCTGAAATGCCAATGATGCAACTTTATTTCTGTTCAGAGGAATGGTTAATGATTTGCAGTGATCATTCTGTCTGAAGGACAGCAGTGATCATTTAAATGATGCTTTTGTACCATGTAGCCCTGTTGAAAAACTGTATCCTGATTGGAGAAGGGCTTCCTTTTGTTCTTCAGCCAAGTAGAAATTAGCTCATTCGTAAGTGCCTTTTTAATAAACTGTTGAGAGGCTGGCTGGAGATTTCTTTAACCTTTGCCTTTTCATCAGTAAGGCCTTGTCTACATAGTGCTTTAGTCCACGCCAGAGGGATATACATTTTAGTTTGTGCTAGCGTGTCACTCACTAACTGGCCCATGTGGATTCCGCTGGCATGCACTAAAAGTGCCCTACTGTGTGTTGTTGTAGTCACAGTAGGGAACTTGGTGTGCACCAGCACGGTCCACGCATCCCAGTTAGTGTGTGACCTGCTAACACAGACTAAAATTTGCACCCCGCTGGTGCAGACGAAAGCAACATGTAGACAAGCCCTAAGTAAGAGTCAGCCAGAAATCAAGCCACATGAGGCTCTGTATAGCAGACTGGTACTGACTTGGCAAGGAATGAAAGAAAAATGCTTTTCAGGTGATAATTAGCTATGTTCGTTCTTTGATCCTTATTGTCCTACGGAGTGTATTTCAAACCACTGGGTGATTTCAGCTAAATTCAGTTTTTTATATACACTCGGACCAAAATTTTGAAAAGTAGCCTCTGGATTTGTTTGGACTCCCCAACTTTAGACATTAAGTTCTTGTTTTCCAGAAGTGATTGAGTATTGATTTCTTTTGGAGTTTTGGGTGCCCAAAACTTCTGCTTTGACCTATATAAATGCCTGTTGAAATCTACTAAGCAAAAGGACAATGTTATCCAACTGGCCTCTGTACCTGCACACTATGCATATGAAAATCAGACATCTGCATATTTAACTACCCCTTTTGCAGATGTCTCTTGTCTGAGCAAATTTGTGTTTACACATGCAGATAGATGGACCCACATTAATAGAAGCCACTACAGAATTTGGCCCAAATAATGTATTTTTAGAGCTGTCATATATTGTATCGCTTCTTGGGAAATAACAGACCTTCTAGGAAGTTATGGGGTTTAGCGTAAAGGGGTCAACATATGAATGAGTTTGCATTCCTAATGTTTGAAGCTCTAATTTTGTCTCACAAATTAGCCAGTCCCCCCGGGAAACAAAGGCAGCATCTCATGTTCTTCAGATGGTCTGGAGCTACAAAGAGCTACGAAATGTCCTACAGAAGGATGGATGGAACAAATCCCATTTCCAGGTAAAGATGCAGAGTCCTAGTCCAGGTCCGTGATCACAGAAAGCCCCATGAAGGTGTTTTATCCTTCACTCCATGTTCAGGCCCTACTCCCACTAATGACAATGGGAGGCAGACCAAGACCACTAAGTTGGTGTTTTCCAGTGATAAAACAATTACAGTAAAATTATGGTATCATAAATGCAGTTACTGGGTACATATCTAGAAGATCTGTGAGATGTTCCTTCCACATTTTAGGGGTTATTCCACCTTAGATGTACCAAGTCTAATCCATACAAATATACATCAAGGAAAGACTTGGCCCATTTTTATCTGTTGCTGCTCCTTTGGGACACAGTCCATGTAGCATGTTGGGCATCTGACTGTTCTTTATGTGAAGCTGCTACTCCTTTCTCTATCTGAAAAGTAACTGGCTTTCACCATGGCCTGTAAAGCAGCTACTGGTTTGCCCAACCAGGTGATGAGGGAAGGAGAAATCATCAGCAAAACTTCAGTGAAATGAAAAATACGCAGAATCCCAAATTAGATTCCAGCTGAAGATCAATTTATCAAGTGGGGGTGGAGTGTGAACAGGTTTCCATACATTTTTTTTCAAGTTATTACTTTTTTTAAAAATTGGTTTTACTTCTTACTCTGTTTGCAGCAGCTTCTCAGAACATAAGAATGGCCACACTGGGTCAGATCAATGGTCCATCTAGCCCAGTATCCTGTCTTCTGACAATAGCCAGTGCCAGGTGCTTCAAAGGGAATGAACAGAACAGGGCAATTATCAAGTGATCCATCCCCTGTTGTTCAGTCCCAGCATCTGGAAGTCAGATCCCTAGGGACACCCAGAGACCGGGGTTGCATCCCTGACTGTCTTGGCTAGTAGCCATTGATGGACCTATCCTCCATGAATGTATATAATTATTTTTTGAACCCAGTTATAGTTTTGGTCTTCACAACATCTCCTGGCAATGAGTTCCACAGGTTGATTGTGCGTTGTGTGAAGAAGTACCTCCTTTTGTTTGTATTTAAACCTGCTGTCTGTTAATTTCATTGGTTGCTCCCTGGTTCTTGTGTTATGTGAAGGGATAATAACACTTATTCACTTTCTCCACACCATTCTTGATTTTATAGACCTCTATCATATCACCCCTTAGTTGTTTCTTTTCAAAGCTGAATAGTCCCAGTCTTTTTAATCTCTCCTTACATGGAAGCTGTTTCATACGCTTCATTATTTTTGTTGCCCTTCTCTGTACCTTTTCTATTTCTATTGCATCTCTTTTGAGATGAGATGATCAGAACTGTGCACAGTATTCAAGGTGTGGGCATACCATTTATTTATGTAGTAGCATTATATTTTTTGTCTTCTTATCTATCCCTTTCCTTATGATTCCTAGCATTGTTAACTTTTTTGACTGCTGCTGTACATTGAGTGGATAGTTTCAGAAAACTATCCACAATGACTACAAGATCTTTCTTGAGTGGTAACAACTAATGTAGACCCCTTCCTTTTGTACGTATTGTTGGGATTATGTTTTCCACTGTGCATTACTTTGCATTTGCCAACATTGAATTTCATCTGTCATTTTGTTGTCTAGAGATCCCTTTGTAACTCTTCACAGTCTGCTTTGGACTTAACTACCTTGAGTATCCTTACTCTTCCATTTTGTCTTCTAGTCTGTTTCTGCAGCACCAAAGGGATCCAAAGGTACTTCGGGCAAATCTGGCTATGATGATAGTACTCTGCCACTGGTGGATAAAAGCCAAGGTCAGTTCTGCTCGTTGGTGTGGGCCATAATGATTTTCCTTGTGCTGTTTGCCATGTCTGTGAAGTGTATTTCTCTAATTGGATAAATATCAGTTATTACTTTTTTTTTATGGTGCCTTTTATCCAAAGATCCTGAAGCAATTGACATTACAGACTATATAGACAATGATCACTTCCCTTGCATGAAATGTATGATACCCAGTTCAGGATGAAAAGTTCAGTTGAAGCCTGTAGGGAGTATTTTAGATAGGCATGAAGTAACTACCCAGCAGGAAGTTAGCCAAGGAGCAGGCTAACTATTGTGGTAAGTGGATGGTATTTTTACTAACCACAAGTCATCAGATCTTGGTGTTATATCTCATGCAAAGAGCATCACCTCTAGCAATGCCCTTGGACATTTGTTCAGTGCTGATTTATTTGACGTACCCTCCATTGAATCACCAGCCCAGTTTCCTGTGTGACTTAGCTTTGCAGTAGAGAGATTCTATCCGAGTACTGACCCAGACCCAACTGTGCTTAGTTTGTCAGATTTGACAATAATTGCACCAGTGGTGCCAGGGCACCAGACCATGTTGATTTCCTTAGTCCTTTAATTTTGATCATGATGGAAATAGAAATCAATATTAAAATTACCCTCTTGAGGCCTTTGATTGCCTACTGATTGCTCTTCTCTCTGGGCAAAGAAAGGAACCTCATCCCATCTTGGATGGGTCCAGAGATAAATTCTAGAAAATATAGGTGGTTCAGAGCTGCCACCAAGTATGTGGCGTCCTTCGGATAGAGGAATGTATGTGATTCAGAGCCATGGCACGAGGGAGGTCAGTTTAGCATTCTCTTTGGGGGCCTAACTCAGAACCTTTCTTTGTGAATTATCAGAACCTTAATATTGTTTCATTATAGCCTCTTGTGTCCTCATTATAGTCTCTTGAGTGCAATAAATCATTGTCTCCTCTACTTCCTCCAGCCCTGTGATTAATCCCAGCCTGTTCTGTTTTCATGTCAGTAAGCATGATACAACTAGTTTCAATGCTTCTGTTTTGTAGATAATGAGAAGGCTGGAAGTCGTGATATGATTCCTCTGGATGAACTTGGTCCAGGTAAATGCAGTCCCGGATCGACCCCCTGTCTATTTCAATAGAGCACACTGTCACTCACGAGAAAGTTCAGCGCTTTCTCTGGGAGGTATTCTTTCATGTGGATAAAGCTGACATTTAAAAACAGAACTTTTCCTTCCAAAGGATCAGTTGTCTGGTTGGTTTTTTTTTTTTTAAATGTGTATACTGCATATATACCAGTATCCCCACTACTTTTTAACCAGATCATGAAAATATACTGAGAGCTTCCTGCATTTTAATCTCTTTGCTTTGAAGTGGTTGCATCCTGGAGTTAAAGATCCAAAAGCCATCAGATTTCAACTATTGTTTTTTTTAAAAATGGGACACTAATTTTGTGAGCTTTAAATCTACTTGTATATCATATTCTGTCTGAAAACGTTTTTCCTGCTGTTCTTACAGGTTAGCACGAAAAATGACCCTACTTGAAAGAGGCTAGAGGAAAGAAGTACTTTATTGTTCAGTCTGTAATTATTGTCACTGTTTTCCTGAATTCAGTCAGGGAATTAGTCAGCCCTGCTGCATATGTGGATCTTTCACACAAGAGAGGAAAGAGAAACATTTTTTAAAAATAGGAACACATGACTGTAAAAATCTGCTACGAGTGATAGGAATGGTGCCAGGGTTTTCTGTATGCAAAGTAGAGCTTAACAGCAGGTGGACATGATCAATCCAACAACTTTAAAGTGTTCCTCATTGGCTCAATGGGAATTCTGCATGGGACGAAGAAATAATCCTCCATTCCTCCTTCCATATACAAAACGCAGGCTGAGAGAAAGTAACGACTTCTCCTCGACTTCTCAGCTCCAGCTGTCCATCAAGGGCATCTCTCAAAAGCCAGGCAGAATGGCTTCATTTTCCCAATACAAGTTATGGGAATGGCTCCCTTTCACCAGACTTCTCTAGAGTCTCTTGTGGGTTTGAGGCCTGCAAGGCAGTGAAAAACAAGATGCTGCAGGCCATAATACAATCCATGCAGTGTGTCTCAATAACACTGGCATTACTGTGTGGTGTACAGTCCATTGAGATAGTGGGCATCAGCTGCCTTGCTCATGGCAACCAGTACTGGACAGAGGGAGGAGATTTCACTAGTACTTGGAAAAACCTCCACCCTGGGGCGGGTGCACCTAATACGGCAAATGCAACCTGCCCACCAGGATCTGCAGTGAGAGAAGATTTCCACGAAGCCCCATGAAATACATAGCCATTCTGCATAAGTAGATGAAGCAGTAAGACCAAGGATAGATAAACTCTGAAGAGCTGGGTGGTCTGGAGTCTGTTCTTCACATGTAGAATAGCAGCAGCAGGAGGAACTCCTACTTCTGAAGAGAAAAGCAAAGCTGTGTCCATGCAAGACATTTTCTTTCGAAATGCTGCTAGACTCTGTGGCATGGATGTGAGAACATCTTATTCAGGGGCTAGGGCCCTGATGGAGATGAAGGATAATTAAAAGCCTGAGCTGCTGTTTTGTCAGCAACAATTGAAAAAATTGCAGGGATTAAGCTCTGTTTCTACTGACCTTCCTCTGGTATGGGAAAAGTCAGGGGTTTTCCTGTTAATAGCCACTTCAGAGGCAAGAGGTTCTCAGGATGAAGGCTGCAATGCTGCATGGGAGGCAGTGTTGTATAAAGGGACAGAGCTGAGAGTCAGGAGATAGCGGTTCTGCTCCTGACTCTGCCATTGACTCGCTGTGATTGGTTTGTGCCTCAGTTTCCCTATCTATAAAATAGGGATGAGTCCATAGTTCTGTAAAGTACTTTGAGATTTGAAAGGCACCGCAATCTGGGACAGACCAACTGTTTCCTTTTAGTAAAACAGCATAAACACACTCAGTGTTGCTGTGGATTTGCCTCCGTTTTTCCAGCTACAAATATTTGTATTTAAATGTCTGTGTATCTGCAAGTTGGATAGTCTGATATCTCACGATTCACATCTGCACCTGCAGTCAGATTGAGCCACTGCTGAAAATCAAACACAATATTTCCAAAAAGTCAGGATAACAGAAAGATGTTACCTTCCATGATCTCAGCTGACAGCATCCCCCCGGCATGAATAAACTGTACATACGTAGTTTGCATAAGGGAAGACTGAAATAATTGTGGAAGACAATAACTTAAAGATGATCACACAATGGGATAGCTATGTACTAACTAGTTCAGCAGTCAAGGGCATAAGATCAGAAGTTCTGTGCCCAGATGACTGTAGTTCAGTATTCAGAGAAAAATATTAATCTAATCAATGCTTCGTTTGTTCCGCAGATTAATACTGATGTGGCTTTATTACAAATTGTATTACAAATACAAATTGATCTTAGGTAGGCAGTTTGACAGAATCTCTCACCTAGGAGAGTCCACTCAGATCTGTTCACCACCTCTAGAAAACAAGGTTCCAAGGTTTCTGTCAAATTATCTAGATCCCTATTCTTGGAAACTTTTAAATGACCTATAACTGGTCACTGGGACTTCTCTGTATCTCATCACCAATACCTTCAAAGGCCAACTCACAGGGAATGCACTAACTCTAGGTAATTGGTTTGCTCCACTAAACTCCAAGAAAATGGATAATGTTAATATTTGACTCTCCGTTCCTCAGGCTCCTCCAGCCAAAGTCCAAATGGCTTATACCTTCCTAAGGCACACTCCAGATTGCTTGTTAATTCCATATAGACTAAATTAAATTTGATCTTTAGAATTAATCTTGAAACATGGAAGGAACTGAGTTTGTTAATTCCACCACAGAGCCATTGCCTTCAGGGCACTGAGATATTACTGTACTGGTACAGCCTCCTTCAGGATAGTTCTCATTTTAATAAGTCTAAGCACAAACTTCCTTTCTCAGTTGCTATCTTGATATATTCCCAACTCAGCATGTGTTTTTTAGCTCCAAACAATCCATTAAAACTGACATGTGTGACACCATTAACAAGGGATCAGTGTTCAACTGACCGACAATACACGCTACAAAATGCCTTTTAGCTCAGATGTAAACCCAAAGACCCTGATCATTTTTTATCACTTTGATTAAGATTAGGATTCTGAGGGCTGGTGTATTGATTAAACACTAGTTTTTTGCCTACTTAAAATATCCACTTTTTTTCCCATTTGTATATGGTGATATTCTTTACCTCCTGTCCTAAACTGTTGTGAAATGTTAAACACTAAACATCTATCATCTCCGTGGCAATTGCATTTCAGTGGTGGGTGAACAGTTCTCTTTAGTTTACCTGTTTATAAAGTGCTTTGTGATCCTTCTTGATGAAAGGCGCTACACAATGTCAGTGATCTGTTATTTGTAAGTAAATATGATTAAATACATTTTCAAATGTAAAGGGCTGCTTCTGAGTTGACAACCGAGTTTGGGAGAGTCGATTTTCAACCGCCATTGTGCTATCATTTAAATGTATAGCATGTACCCATGACTTTTACTATGAATTGTAAAGTTTTTAGATCAGCATGTGAGTTACTAGGGGGTGTGTGTGTGTGTGTGTGTGTGATTTGAAACTGAATGACTTATTGTACGCTCCCCCAGGAGTGTTGGCTAGGTGGATGGTTGGAATTTTTTGTTCTAACTGGCACAAGCAGGGATGCTAGTTATTGTAACTGTCAGCAGAGAACTGAAAGAATAGCAGTGGTTTTCAAGGTTTAAGTTATGCACCACATAAATCAAATGTACTCGATACATTGCCTTAATCATTATAATTAGTGTAGTTATGGATTATCTTTTTATACAATATTGATCTTAATTAAACATATGGACCATCTCAAATACCTGGTCATTCTGCGAGGCTTCTGCATATGTTGATTTACTGAGCCAATATCTTTTTATAAATTAACTGGATTGCAGCCTGTGTACCCTATTTTGAGAACTGCTGCCCCATAGACTGTTTGCCAGGAGTCACTCCATTTACAAAGCTTTTCGTGCTGCAGCTTAAAATGGCTCACTTTTTATTTCACCAGTAGCCCACAAAAACGACATCTGGAGTGACTGATTGATTTTAGAGGGCCTATTGAATGCAAGCAATAAACCAAGACATGAGGCATTCTGAGGTTTTATGTAAAATCTTTTTGGAGAGTACAGTTTGACAGGAAGTAGAACCTGTAATGATCCTTTAATTACATGGAGAGATACAAAGCTTATTAAGAACCATAAATTTGACTGTCACTTAGCCCAGATTACAAAGCTGTCAAAGCAGGCAGGAGAATATATTTGTCCCTGATAATGAGGGAAACTTGATGCACCAGAGAAATAAATTAATATTTGTAACCTCTGACAATGAATCGTAGTTTCTGAAATAATTACAGCATTTCTTCATAAAGCCCCTCCACCCCCTTCTTTCCAGTTTACTCCTGTATTCACAGTGCTTTTCAACTGTCAGGGAGAAAAATCCCCCACTGGTGCCATTTCAAAATGAGAGGCAGGTCCAGCACAGCAGGGTTTGCATCGAGAGCTCACAAAACTCTACAGGCTGCTTTTCTTATCATTCCAAAGGGGACGTCTCCAATATTGTCGTGTCCTACTTGTAGTCAAGTTCAGAAGGAGTGGGAATTTGTTGCATGCCACTCCGAGAAGGAACCCAGCCAATTAATCAGGCTGTTAAACTCAGAACACAAGATTTCAGCTGGATTTGGAGCTCATTAGCCACAGGGTGTGAAGTAACAGCTTGCTGCTTTCCTTGGACAGACTACTACTACACTGCAGCCGGCCCGAATGGAAACTGTGCTGCTTGTTAATGAGATACCAGCATTTGACACGGAGGTGGTGGTATAAAAGGAGTTATTTTTAAAAAGAAAGGTGGTTAAAAAATAAAATGGCTGAGCATCAGCCCAGGAGGAAGGCACATCCCTATGTCTTTGGTTTAATGCTCTCTCTGTCTCTGTCTCTGTCTGTCTCTAGTTCTTTGACTATGCAAAACAGCCAAATGTACCATGGTTTTGCTGCTGCCTGATTGTCATGTCATTCCTTCGCAGATGGGTACTCCACCATCGATCACCGGGACAAAGAGCGCAAATACAAGACCAATGACAATATAGGGGATGCATCGGAAAAAGAACCTTTAAAAGTAAGCTTCCAGCTATTCCAAAGGCTGCTTAATGTCATTACAGAATGGGACATCCAGTGTCAGCAGCAAGGAACGTGTGTCGCGAGTACTCAGCAGGGGCTTGCAAATGGTTCGCTATAAAGGCACCATTTCGTAAGTGAGCACTCGTTAGCCTTAAATGGAAGCAAATGCTGCTTTCTAATAAGGGAGCAACTGCAGGAGAGGGTTTTATAAGCTGAGATGTGCTCACGTCCCTGTAGGTAAATAACGGTTTTACAAAAGAACGTGTTTGCTTTATCACTTTCAGCTCCTCCATCTAGATATATTCCCCAGCCCTAAAATGTATAGCTCCGCAGGAGACTTTGTTCTGAGAATAGTCACATCGAACAGTTACTTCCCACCATGGAAACCATAAAGGGGTGTAGCTGAAAGCCTGTGTGTCTTTGTAAAGCAGTGTGGTGTATATAGCTCCCAGCCCTCGCTCAGACTCTCCTGCACATGGACTCTGTATATGGGTCAGTCTCTCTTACACAGAGCCTTCTTTACAATGAATTTCCAACTCTCTTCTTCCACGCAGCTTTCTTTCTGAAAAGTCAGACTTGAATCTCCCACTTCCATTGTGGGCTATTGAGTTTACCAGAACAGGCTGTATGCAAGTAATTGACTCTCAATTTTTCTTACATTCATGCACAATTTTAGCTAAGTTTTTATAAGCAGTTGCTTTATGCTTTCAGCAGCGCAGTGGCACATGGGATTCCTCCCTACCTCGCAAAAACCCCCGCATACTCTCCTGTGTGTCAGCACTGGGAAAAACCAGACAATGAAACAAGAGTTTGTGACAGAAAACATTGCTGCTAGTGTTGGGAACCTCCGTGCTAGGGAGCCCTGAGCATCTGTGGTGAAATCTCCTCAGTGTTTTGTGGAAACTCCAGAAGATCCAGATGCTCCAGGGTAAATGGCCGAGCAGTTGAAAAGGAAAGACTTTCCAGTTAGTGCCAGGCACTGAGCAAAGGCATGCAGAAAATCTTTCCACAGACTGAGCCAGTAGTACGCCTGCCTGGTGATGATGGTCTGTCTATATTAACGTGTGGACTCAAACACTCACCATCAGGATTGAGCATAGCTACCCCTCCTCTCTGTTAAAGGTAGAGGCCAGCCACAGTCCGCACTTTAATTGTTCAGACACAAATAGTTTTTTTCCTTTTTCATTCAAAGGCTATTTAAAACCTTCACCTGGTCAGAAGCTTCTCGTCTAGCAACCTCATTAATATAAGCCATTGTCTTGTGATATCCTTCCAGTGCCAAACCCACCCTGCAAGCTTGCTGTTATTAGCCGGCCTGAATGAGTAGGAGTCTCACGTCATGTGGCTGCAGCGTGACTGAAACACTGACCTCTGGGTTAGCCCAGCCTCCGATCTTACTTTAATATGACCTTCCATTATCCAGTACTGTAAATGGGTGAAGATTATGGCTGTGCGGGGATTAGGAGACCTCAGTGACCCTTAAAGCTGTACTGCAAGGGAACAGCCACTGTCATTTAAAACTAGCTGCCCTATTTAGTCTGTGTACAATCCATTTCTAAACTTGCACCCATTGTGCTATATATAATGGGAATCACCTTTTAGTGTGAACATGTGGAATGCTAATTGTGTTTATGCTTTACAGTCACTAGTAAAGATGGAAAGGAAACAAAATCTTTGGTTGCTTTCACCTTTGCCTTTGGAAGTGGTCGCTGCTTCCTTCATTTGTTTGTCATCTCTGTCCTTTCCTGTTTTACTGTGTAGTAGCCCTGATCAAACTGGGAAATTTCTATCTTAAGTGCTTTGGAGCAATTCACTTCGTATTATTCATGGTTATGTTTTAGGGTAAATTGCCAAAGTGCTACACAAAGATTGAGCCACAAGGCTCTGAGATTGCCACTGATGGGAATCGGGTGTCTAAATCCCAGTTACCCGCTTTCGAAATACCATTTGATTGACACAGATGTTATTCTGATATGGAAACAGATGGCCCAGCCTGAACCAGAGGTTAATGGTATAAGCTTTCCAATCCACCCAGCCACAGTCTTCGTGTACACTGCAGGATTCTGAGGAGGAGGGTGAACTAGGGGAGATGGCTGCAAAGATTAGGATGCTGTTCTGCAGGAATGACAGAAAATGCTTCTTCCAGAGGAAAAGGGGGGATAGGGTGGGAGGAGAGAGGATTAGCAAGTGCTTATTACTTTTACCATGTGACACATACAGGTAGCCAAATACAGCCCACAGAGCTGTACAATGCAGCCCAAGGCCACCTTCATCTTTCCTAAGGTTGAGGTGCAATCCACCAAAGCAAGTGGTGGTTCCTTTGTGCAATGCTTTGGCTTGGTCGGAGCAGAAATTACTTGCGTTAAGACGGAGCATTGGGACCTGTCTCTTCCTCAGTCTGTGCTTCCTCCCTGCTGAAGATGGAGGGCAGCCCAAATACAGTCTGATTTAGGAACCTGAGGGCAACACCTCAGTGGCATGTCATGTTGTTGAAGCAGCCCTTAGTTGGGCAAAGTCTAGATGCCCCTTGCACTACCCCATCCAAGAGAAACGTGTGTGCTGATTTCTAGCTGGTGAACAATCCAATAACCGTGGCTCAGAGGCTGTATGAGTGGCTAGGAATAATGATTGCAATGAAGTGAAGTGCTGCCGCGAACGCTTCTGTCAGTGCCTGGAATAGCTCATGCCTTTGCCAATTTTGTTTCTTTCTCTCTCTCTCCACTAATTCCCCCCTTGCAATCCTTTGAGCTGACTGATTTGTATGTTTGTGTTTGATTAATCCGCTCTGTTTTCCTTTAACTCCTCACCCTGTTTGCTGCAGAATGACACAAATAGGAAAAACATTAACAGGAGTAACAGGGCTTCGGTGAATCTGGTGGATGCCCGTGACATTAAACCCCAGCCTGTTGACTCCTGGGTCTAATTTGCATGCATGGTAGGTCCTTTTAATGGTAATTGGTGCTAGTGATTACCTTGTCTCATTGTGCATGATCTGTATCGCTGCAGAATCTTTCCAAGGCTAATGGCTAACTGGTTCCTTTTAGGCAAATGAAAATGCATTGGAAAAGGGATGTTTATTTTGCACACTGTATCTTTAATGAAAAACAATAAACCACTGCTGTTTGATTTAAATAATAACCTGTCAAATAACCAGACAGCGCATTAATATCCTGACCGATGGTCTGTCAGCTGAAATGTGAAGGATCTCTGCTATTAGGCCATGGGAATTAAACTGAATATAGTTTTTCCTGACTGATCTCAAATGTTTACAGCCGTTTCTCTCCCTCCCCCGCCCCTCCAACTCATTACCAGGTTTAGCCTGAGCCCTCAGGAAAAGTACATCCTGACAATTCATGGATCTCCCCTGAGGCTCCCAAGAATTCCATGGTCCTGTCCCCCAAGGGAAAGCTGGTGACCACACACACGATTAAATTTCAAGGGGGGAGAACAGCAATCATTTAAACATGGAGCCACAAGTCCCACCTCCTGCTCCTTCTTCTCTGCAGTTCAAGGCTTTTTTTGGTCCCTTTCTTGTTCTCTACCTTCCCTATGTGCCAAGCTCCTTAAAACTGTGCCAGCTTCTACCACTCCTGCTGTCACTAATCTGCCTCCTGCTGCCCAGTCTGTTATCCATGTTACACCTCCTGGCAGCCCGTCAGATGCCGCATTGTGTGTAGTACAGACTGTGTGGCTGGCTGTGGACTAAAAGAATATCTTTAGTAATCATGAGGATTGCACTACACAGCTTCTCCTTACCCAGTCCCTGAAGGCCTTATTTCCAGAGATGGTGAGCACCCATGACTCCCATTGCTCAGCACTGCAGAACATCGGTCCTTTTCTCTACATGGAAATCACATTAATCAGTGAGACGGAAACTCAAGTCATGAGGCGAGTGCAGCACAATAGGAGGGATCAGAGTTCATGACTCATTCTTGTTTCCTTGATGGGAAGGGCTGGAACCGTCTAATCACTGCAGCCTATAACAGACCCGTATAAGGTCTTTCTCCAGCTAGGTGGACAATTCTCCCAGACCTGAAGAAGAGCTCCGTGTAGCTCGACAGCTTGTCTCTCTCACCAACGGAAGTTGGTGCAATAAAAGATATTGCCTCACCCAAGTTGTCTCCCTAGTTCTCCCAGTACCTACTCAGTCTTTGGCTCCTAACCGTCCCTCTTCTGGTCTTAAACCGCTGACAGGCTGTAGAGCCAGCACTGCCACTGTCTATCCTGTGCCTGTGTTGGCGACAAATGGGTCTGTCAGTCTGGCACCTTTCCCTGGCTTTATGCTGACTTCTAGAAGAAGTACTTCTTTAAAGAATTAAAATTTCTGATTGGCTGCTTTGCTGACCCCCTCTGGGTGCTGGTTTCAAAGAGCAATTCCTCCATCTCCTGAGAAAACCTGGAAGACTTGCCCTGTCGTCACACAAATTCCTGATGGTAACAGACTAAATAAAGCACTGGAGACGGGGAGTGGGGGGGGGGGGGGTAAGGTAGGTGTAGGAGGTGAATTTGCAGGGCTTTGGAGACCTCCAGGAGAATGTTTTTTAAAATCACACGTGAAGCTGGTAGAGTAACTTTGCAACATAAACAGCCCCGGTGATGCTGCACTTCTCGGCTCTTTGCATTCTCCTGGCGACTCTTGGCAAGTAACTTTAAACCTGAAACCTTCCAAGGTCTCAAATTTAGATTCACTTTATTACTTTTCTAAGACCTTAAAATGATGGGGAAGGAAAAGCTCTTATTTCTCTTTAAACGTGTGTTGGGGCATTAAATGCATATGGCCGTGAGCAGTGGTAGCACCAGCAGACCCTTTGCCACTGCAGCTCTGCACCTCACTCTTTATCTGCAGCGCTCTTACTGTTCCAGTCCTGAGTCGTGCTGGATGAGAGAACACCAACTGGGTGATTTAATGATGCAGACCCACAGGTGACTGGGATATAACCAGCAGATTCCTGCTCACTTGATTGAAGAGTTGAGTCCAGCTCTCTAAAAGTGAAAAGCCAGAGCACAAAAGCCACTAGACTTCCTGGTGCCCCCTTAGGACAATGCTTTCAGTCTGGCGCATTAGGAATCAGAGGCCTGACCCTGAAGTCCTTCCTTAAGAGAAATTCTCATTGAAAGCAAGTTGGAAGTCTCTCCAGAGTACGGGGAGCAAGGTCAGACACAATTCATGGGGTTCGCACATCTGAATCCCCTGGGCACTGCCCTGAAAATTCACCCCATCCAACTACTACACATGTGAAACCCTGGGGGCTCTGCTGTTGCCATAGATTATTTATTATTTGTATTGTGGTAGTACTCCAACCAAGAGCAGAGCCCCACGGTGCTAGGTGCAGTAGGAAGTCGTGGTCCCTGCCCCAGAAGATTGAGATTTAAAGCTTTGACAGCACACAGTAGTCCCACCTTTGTCCAGTGATCCTTGGGAGTGGAGAAGGCATTGAGAGAGGGGGAAGGTGCCTTTTTAAACGTAGGGTGAATTTTTGGTGGTGTTTGTTGCTAATTTCTGTCCTTAAAGGAACTATGACATTGGGGGTGGGGGAGGGGGGTGGACACTTGCAGCGGTCCTGCTACCTGAGCTCATACTGTATGTGCTGGAGATCAACACAGGTGATTATTTCATCTATTAATCAGCTATGGCTTTATTTTCCAGGGCTAGAGTCCAACTACTTTCTTTTTTTTTTTTTTTTTTTTTTTTTTTTTTTTTTTTTTTTTTTTGGGGGGAAAAAAAAAAATTTAACACAACAAAAGAGTTT